AAATTGGAGGGAAACAACATACACTTTTACAATTTTCAAGAAGTGTAAATAAGGGTATAATAGGAAAAAATTTGTTGTTCTTTCTTGATTTGTCAAAATGGACAACTAAATAGGGACAACTAAAAAAGGAAATATGGACAAGTAAATAGGGACGGAGGGAGTAATAATAATAAATTATATTAAGAGTAATAATTATGGTAAGTTGGATATTAGCAGATAAAGTTTGTCAAATAATTAAAGCTGATTTTGACATGGAGAAGCACGAGATATATATAGTTGTTCTCAATCCTTCTCCTAAAACAAAATTATTTATTAAATATAGTTACCCTAAAACTACAATAGAAAAGTTGTTTGGGAACTCCTAGAAATTGTTCATTTTGAAAATATTATTTTATTTAAAAAAACTACTTTTGAAAAGTATTAGTTTTACGTTGGTTGTTGTTCTACTATCTAAGCATGATCGAACATTTAACTTAACATCCATTGTAATAGTACTTTCTCCGTTTTAAAAAGAGTAATCTAGTTTGATTTGATACGGAGGATAAGAAAATAAAGAAGACTTTTAAATTTTGTGGTCCTAAAATAAAGTTAGGTTAAATGTACAAAAATATTCTTTAATCTTATGGTCTTAAACATGTCACGTAGAAAACTGAAATTAAAATGTTACCAAAAAAGAAAAAGGTCAATCTTTTTGAAACAGACTAAAAAAGAAAATAAATCATTATTTTTTAAACAAAAAAAATATTTATTTTAGAATTTATATTTTCACATCATTTATTTTGTGATATATTGAATTTTAACAACCCAACTTTCACTACTAGTTATAAAATCGATGATGTTATATAGCATAGAATGTTGAGTTGTTAAAGTTCAGCATATTCATAAGATGAGTGCCGCAAATTGTAAGATTGATGTGTGATTATACTAAATTAGATAAGATTATAGAAATTATCACATTAATTCGCTATAGGGTGCAATAACACATTGTTAGTTTGATTGCGACCTAAAAACTCAAAGAATCATGTTTTTGAACAATTATATTAGAAGATAAATTGTAAAATAAATAAAATTAAAATAAGTATTTAGCATGATAAACTCCTTGCTTAAGGAAGACAAAAACCACAATCTATCTCAATAGGACTTTCCCAAACTCTCCATTAAATTCAAATTATTTAAGATTTTCAATCGTCTTATAACGTCTAACAAAATCTACCCTCTTAACTCTTTATCTTCAATATTACTACTCCATCAATGAGTCCTACGAAGCAACATCTAGTGCAATTAACTAGCTACTTTTTTGTGTGTGGAGTTTAAGAAAGTATGAAAAGATTGATATCATAAGATTATTTTTCAAATAAATGAATTTTTCGATCGATACGTTGCGTAAAGTGATGTATTTGACTAATATATCGCGTGAAGTAGAAATTTTTGTAATATTTTCAAATGATAAGAAATTTTAGAGAATATAATAAAATAAGTTATGTATTTAAGTGATTTTTTCAAATTTTATTAAGAGGCGCCAAATTGTAGGTTGAACTGATTTTAAATAGATTAAATTAATAAATAAATCTTTTAATACATATATACATAATTTGGACAAAAAAAATATTACTGAATTTACTTGAGACTCCATAAGTCACGCTGTAAATCAGCTTTCATTGATATCGAGTACAATTTTATTTTTTTAAATTCATAGCAACTGATCTTAGATTATCAATTTAAACTCTGCAAATATATATTTATTTATACTATATTCTTAATCCAAATTAAATAAATTTGTTTTAGAACAATGAGGAGACTGACTGCCTGACTGCAGAAGTGGCATCGGATTTTGTGCTAAATGTCCACTAACCCCAATGCTCTTTACAACCCACAAAATACTATATTCTCTCTGTCTCAAATTATCTAACGTAATTTTTAAAATAGTCATACTAAATTATTTTTTTATTTTATTTTTGAATTATATTGGGTATTTTCATTTTTGCTTCTTAAATAAATATAACTATTTTATACTAAATGATTTGTTTATTAATTCTTCTATTCATTTTTACTTGTCCACTATGTTATTTTGGGATGCCCATTTTTATTTGTCCACTTTATTTATTAAATAAATAAATTATTATTTTGTGTCTATTTTATCTTTATTATTAAATACTATTCATTTCTTAATATTTAGATGACTAATACTCTTTTTGTCTCATATTAATTGATCATTATACTAAAAATAATTGTTACGTATTAGTTGATCACTTTATTAAATCAAGAAAACATTAATTAAAATTTTCATATATTACCCTTGCAACTAATTCTTTTTGAAAGTGATTACATTTGTTTGTAAAATTTCAAAAAGTTTTTTAAGGGGTTATTTTCTTATTTATGGTTTATTAAGCACCATGTAAAATGAAAACTGATCAACTAATATGAGACGAAGAGAATATTTAACAAGGGTAATTTGGTAAAATTACCTATATCATTTACTACTTCTTTATTTTTGTGTCAAATTAATAGTGAACGACTATTATTGAATGGTAGAAATACTAATTACTACATTGTTTTATTTTAGTATATAAGTTGTTGACTCTTCCATGTTCATTAATCTTGTCCAATAGTCCCATTATAATTATCCCACTATTACTTAATTTATTATTAATAAACGAGCAACTATGCTAGGTAAAATTTTAATTATTAGGTTGCAGTTTTGATCTTAGTGTCAGTGTACTATTTAGATTGACATAATTTAAAATTATTTTAGTATTTTTTAACCACCTTTCCTCCATTAATTTCTAAGGGATTGTTTGGCACGTGATATTTTATTGAATTAACTATTTCATCTATTATATGAAATTAGTTAATTTATCATTTTGATATAAGTAATATTATAAAATAATCTTGAAATTAATCGACATTTATAATCAACCATAGAATAAAACGCGGGACAAAATAATTTTACATTTTAATATTTTAAACTATTATCATTATTATGTGTATACAAAATTTCCCTTAATTATTTAAAAAGCCATAATAGGTGCAACTTTCAAGTTATTTCTTCGATATCTCGTGTGTCTCATTTTCAACCCCCCCAGAAAGAAAAATAGTATAGTTCTTTAACACGAAAAAGAAGATACATGCATAATCCATGATAGATTAAGCAATAATGGTGAGATAGATTTCGTCTCCCTTAATTAGAAATTTTGAGTTTAATTTTAAGAGTTAAAAAAATTATGAAAATCAATTTTCTTTTCTCTAAATGCTATTTTTTAACAAATAAATAATTGCATTCAAGTGGTATTCAACGAAAGACGAGAATATAATTTGAACCTGCAATATTCATATTCATGAGATTGATAAGTTAATCATTTCTTACTATGTCTATCTTATTAGGTTACTATAATATAACCTCTTTGAGCATAAATAATTAAGAAAGTGAAGTTATTGTGAAGACTAGCAAAAAAGTTACTAAGGTTTTTTTATCTGTCTACGATCATGCCTAATTGATTATTTCATCAAGATCTGTTATTTAAAAATAGAACTTATGCAACACGAATAAAAATTAATCGAACCAATAAAATTTGAATCTCCCATGATTAAAGAAGAAGGCCTAGAGTAGACCAAAAATCTAGTTTATGAAAATGGGGGATGCACGCGGATATCCAAATAAACTCCTTTTTCTCTTACAACTGGACCCATGAATATTATTTCATTTCTGTTCCTTTTCGATCTAGTCTTTCGAAAATATTTTTTTATTTTTATGAGGTAAAAATAAGATCGGCACACCCTATCTTTTTTCAAATTTTACTTATGATAGTAATTTTAGTAGTTATATGAGTGTGCATGATATTTGCTTATCAATTTTACAATCCTGCACAACTATAATCTGGAGTATATGTTATAAATCAATCTATATATTGTATATTATTTCATGGAAGGTAGAAAATGAAATATTAAAAGATCATTTGGTTACGGGTTAGAGTTATGCAATTAATAATTCAAAGAGTAGTTAATTGGTGCAATATTTAGTTATATGTATATAAAATTCTCTCATAACTTATGCATTTAATAATTATACAAGTTTGTAAACTAGTAACCAAACACATACTTGATATGCTGAATTTTATACATAGCAACTAAAAATACTATAAAACGTGGTACTCTAGTTATGCCTATCTTAATACATGAATAATTTTACTCCTAACAAACAACCAAACGATCCCTAATACTCATGAATCAGTAATACATAAAAATAACTAATTCTCAATGACTAACCTCTACATTACTAATACGAAACACCTATATAACTCTAGATAGCAAGCAAGACTACTCCATTTGTTTCACAAAGGTAAGTATAAAATTTGCGCACACATCATCCTCCCCTTACTTGTGAAACTACCTCCAACATTAAGGCAAGAACTGCACACACACCATTCTCCCTGCATCTCACATAACAATACACCGTTTGTTTCACAAGGTAAAAGTAAAATTAGTGCACACATCATCCTACCCCTCTAGTGCAATTACCTCCACAATGCAAAGGTAAGACATGCACACACACCATTCTCCCTACATCCAACCGGCACACACATTAGCGCACACATCATCCTACCCCACTTGTGAAATTACCTCCACAACGCAAAGGTAAGACCTGCACACACACCATCCTCCCTACATCCCGCCTGCACACACATACCATCCTCCATACACATTCCACATGTGAAATTACATTGGGCGTGTCATAATCTCTAACAGTATGCGTAACTGTTTGAAACTTCTTTTAGTTTCACAAAAAAGATAAGACCTTCAGCTGTTGGGTCTACAAACTTTGAGTCACCTTTTTGTGAAACAAAAAGAACCTTGCATAATGGACATACCAAATAACGAGTCCTCAAAAATTGGTGCAACACAAGCACAACCAATAGAAGATCGGATATCTTAAATTATAACTATGAGCCTCCAATGCTTAGGAAGCCAGATTCAGCTTTGGGGCCACAATTATTGCTGCAAAGTATAAGAAAAAAATCTTCTTATAAACTAATTGAACAATTATGCCCCAACAAATAAACCAATAGTTACAACATCTATTCAAAACTTAGGGGGGAGACTGTACAATTCCACCTCAACCCATATCATTATCCTGCCCTATAACCAGCAAGAGAGAGAAAAAAAACCATGCTACAACACCCTTCTAAAGGTGCCCATCGACAAAGTAAAAGACAATTTATCTTTGTCATTGATGGCTCAACTTGCGCTTCTTTTGTTTTCTCAATCGCTCCCGCCTTTCTTCTTCTTCTATCTTCCGGAGTTCTTCTTCATCCTCTTCCCTTGCTATTTTCGCACTGAGGACAAAAAACAGAGGAAAGAAGTAGGTCAGGTTTGTTTAATCCCTTCGGCAGTAAACGATAGAGTACATTATCTTGACAAACTAAAGTACTATGCACAAACATGAGCATTATTTATATAAAACTTTTATATATCAATCTTAAAAAGACATTATGATACATCATGGTTGAATAGTTATAGCCAAAAAAATGAATGAAAATAAGTCTGCTCTAACAGACATGTTACCAACCTCCGCCTTTCTTCCTTCAAAATTTCATCGAAATTAGCCTCCATATCACTATCATCGTCGTCATCACGGTACCTATTTGGATTATACCTGGAAAACAGACACTTCTATCAGCCGAAAAGATGAGGTAACATTAATTAACATAAGCAATAACCAAAACTAAAAACATGTTTTCCTAAGCTTTTAACTAAATGAAGAACCATCAACAAGGCATATATATCTCTAAACCCTTGATTACAATCCAATCAGAGGAATATAAAAACAATCAGTTCGATGACGGATCCACTATCAATAGGATAGTTACTTTTACTCAAATAGGCAATTCACAAAGGGAATGTGAACTTTTCAAACACCTTTAAACCTCAACTTAAAGGAATTAGCAGTTTTAAGTGTTCTAGAGCTAGATGTTATAATTTATGCAATGTCGACTGAACTCCCAAAGGAAAAAAGGAACAAGACATAAATTTGTAACGGAAGCAAGAAAGAAAAAATATATACGTACCCAAACATCTCCCTAATCATACTAATGGCTTGTCCTCCATCATCTTCTTCATCATATCTCGTTGGTTTTCTTGCTGGGCGCCTATCATCTTTTTGCTGATGTACTGGGCGCCTCTCTTCTTTTCGCTGAAGTGCTGGGCGCCTGTCATCTCTTTGCTGAAGTGCTGGGCGCCTGTCATCCCTTTGCTGAAGTGGGCGCCTGTCATCCCTTTGCTGAAGGGATGGGCGCCTGTCATCCCTTTGCTGAAGTGATGGGCTGTCATCCCTTTGCTGAAGTGGGCGCCTGTCATCCCTTTGCTGAAGTGGGCGCCTGTCATCCCTTTGCTGAAGTGGGCGCCTGTCATCCCTTTGCTGAAGTGGGCGCCTGTCATCCCTTTGCTGAAGTGGGCGCCTGTCATCCCTTTGCTGAAGGGATGGGCGCCTGTCATCCCTTTGCTGAAGTGGGCGCCTGTCATCCCTTTGCTGAAGGGATGGGCGCCTGTCATCCCTTTGCTGAAGTGGGCGCCTGTCATCCCTTTGCTGAAGGGATGGGCGCCTGTCATCCCTTTGCTGAAGTGGGCGCCTGTCATCCCTTTGCTGAAGGGATGGGCGCCTGTCATCCCTTTGCTGAAGTGGGCGCCTGTCATCCCTTTGCTGAAGGGATGGGCGCCTGTCATCCCTTTGCTGAAGTGGGCGCCTGTCATCCCTTTGCTGAAGGGATGGGCGCCTGTCATCCCTTTGCTGAAGTGGGCGCCTGTCATCCCTTTGCTGAAGGGATGGGCGCCTGTCATCCCTTTGCTGAAGTGATGGGCGCCTGTCATCCCTTTGCTGAAGTGATGGGCGCCTGTCATCCCTTTGCTGAAGTGATGGGCGCCTGTCATCCCTTTGCTGAAGTGATGGGCGCCTGTCATCCCTTTGCTGAAGTGATGGGCGCCTGTCATCCCTTTGCTGAAGTGATGGGCGCCTGTCATCCCTTTGCTGAAGTGATGGGCGCCTGTCATCCCTTTGCTGAAGTGATGGGCGCCTGTCATCCCTTTGCTGAAGGGATGGCCGCCTGTCATCCTTTTGCTGAAGCGATGGGCGCCTTTCATCCCTTTGCTGTAGTGCTGGGCGCCTTTCATCTCTTTGCTGTAATGCTGGGCGCCTATCATCTCTTTGCTGTAGTGCTGGGCGCCTATCATCCGAGGGACGTACTACATTTCTAGGAGGTGGTGGTCTTATCTATTAGGATCACAGATCTCAATTAGTAAATTCTGAAGGTCAAAAAGTTATAGGGAATAAGCCGAAATTTAACCCCACCCAACTAAAATATATTAAATTAATTAAAAAACAGGACCCTAGAAAAGAAGAAAACATTATATAAAAATCAAGGCACAGCTTACCTGAGATCTAGCCAAGGAAGCTTGTTGTTTCTGAATCACCGCCTGAGGTTTGGAGACAGGCACACCTTGTTTTGACATCACTTTTGACTTACCAGATTCCAGTGGTAGCCTATTCTGTACCGAAGATTGCCTTGGTACAGCGGGTTGCACTCTTGAAGGGGTTGGCCTATGGGAAGCAGGCACAGTACTCTTGGCGCCTGGTGCCCCGGTAACCTTGGGGGACAACCCTTTTGGCCCCAAAGGCGGCCGTCCAGGCCCACTTCCATTACTGCTACCGAACTGTTTCCTAGAGTCTAACGTTGGTTGAGTCGGTTTATTAATAGACACCGATTTTTGAATCACAGCTGTAGGTTGCCTTTGGCTGTCTCTTTTCATTTCACGATCATCTAGAAGCTTTCTCCCACTATCACTTGAAGTCTGCTTTCCGAACCGTGCATCTTCAATATCACCAAAAACCCTGAATAAGTTTCTCAATAAATATAGCACATTGAGACGGATTTTATTAAATAGAAACATGAATAAACAGTGACCAAGACGCACCACAATAAGGGGCAGACACTTTCTGAGTTAAAGAACCTCTTGATGGACCAGGAAGTTCAGCATCATCAGATAATAGAAACGAATAGTCCCTCGTATTTTTTACCATATCGATCTTTCTTTTTAACTACAGAAAATCAAATGACATAAAAATCCTCAGTAAAATACAGAGTACATTAGAAGAAAAATTAAGAGAAGTGTTGGAGAAATTGCACTGATTGATGTATTACCCCATTTGTGACTTTTGGTGCATGGTTGCTGGTGGATGCTTTTGATCCTGCAGGTTTTGCAGGCTTTGAACCAGCACTCTTATTGCTCTGCTGGAAAGGCAAGGGTAAGCATCAGATGAACTGTAAGCCAAAACCAAAAAGGAAAAGGATACATGTGCTAAAAAGAATCTATACTTTCCCCAATTAACATGACTACAATCACCAGGCAGAGCATGTCTCACTAGAATATCTAGTGGAAAAATGCTATAATGGGTTACATCATTCTATTAGTGTGGATGGAAGTGGAAGCTAAAGCTGTGATGACCTTAATATGCGACTAAAATAATCGTAGAAGAGCATCGACGTAAATAACATAGTACTTACATGACTAGAGCACATTTTTAACCAGTTGATATCAGCTAATAGATTTTCCCTTTCATTGTGTCCTATCTTTAGTTAGCTAAATCTGCATGGGATTCAACGAAATTGTAGGTCTTTTCAACCCCCCCCCCTCCCCCCCCCCCCCCACCCACCCACAAGAAGTGTTGGAGAAATTGCACTGATTGATGTATTACCCCATTTGTGACTTTTGGTGCATGGTTGCTGGTGGATGCTTTTGATCCTGCAGGTTTTGCAGGCTTTGAACCAGCACTCTTATTGCTCTGCTGGAAAGGCAAGGGTAAGCATCAGATGAACTGTAAGCCAAAACCAAAAAGGAAAAGGATACATGTGCTAAAAAGAATCTATACTTTCCCCAATTAACATGACTACAATCACCAGGCAGAGCATGTCTCACTAGAATATCTAGTGGAAAAATGCTATAATGGGTTACATCATTCTATTAGTGTGGATGGAAGTGGAAGCTAAAGCTGTGATGACCTTAATATGCGACTAAAATAATCGTAGAAGAGCATCGACGTAAATAACATAGTACTTACATGACTAGAGCACATTTTTAACCAGTTGATATCAGCTAATAGATTTTCCCTTTCATTGTGTCCTATCTTTAGTTAGCTAAATCTGCATGGGATTCAACGAAATTGTAGGTCTTTTCAACCCCCCCCCCCCCCCCCCCCCCAAAGCACAAACCATCCATAGGAATAAAATTGCAAAAACAAAATAGTACAAGCAACTTGATATGAGAAATTCGTATACATACCGAATGGTTAGATTTCATGACTTTAGCTGCCAGATTTGGATTCTCCAGTAGAGACTTGCTTTCTTGGATAACTCTGTTAGAGATAACAGGCTGTGAAGGTCCAAAGAAGGAACCAAAACTGCAGGGTCAGATAGAAACGGTAAGACAAACCATGAGCCTAAAAATCAAAACGTAATATAAACTTCACCTAAAATGATGCACCATTCCACCAGTACAAAGAGAACCACTTCTCTTTGTCCAACTACATCATCTTTCTCTAACAAAAGCATCAAAAGAATAAATTCAGAACAGGCTAATTCTCAAATCCCTTTACAGATGCATTCAGTATAATTCTACAGGAGAGAGCACAACCATGTTCCCAAGGAAAAAATATGCACCAATTATTTTCCACTTAACTGATGCAGTAATAGTGCATAATAGAAATTTATGCACGAGATCTAACACATTGTTACAATCATCTATTTATAGAATTATCAGACTGAGTTATGTAACAACAAATAAATTTTGTGAAATTGGTAACTTCAAAATCAGAGAACGTGAGTAGTATCATATCAACATACTAGCAGCACTCACTTATCCCTGGATGATGCATTCTTTTTAAATTCGCGAGAACCACCACCTAGTTCTTTCTTCCTCTGCTTCCTGATATCATCTTTTAACCGTTGCCTCAGCTCCAGGTACTCTAACAACTCCTGTGAAGGCTGTTGAGGCTCTTCATCCTCATATTCCTCTTCACCAGCCTCTTCCTCTTCACCTTCAGTCTCATACTCATCCAAATACGAATCATCATATTCCTGCATGAATGTAACTAAGTGGTCAAATGAAAGTATATCAATCAACTATGCCTCATCCCAATTTCCAAATCAATCAAAGAATCTGCTACATGAATCCTTTATATCCATTCTATCCAATTTAGGTCTATTTCATTCCAATATTAAATAATTTTTCTTTCAAGGAAAATTAAGGTTTTCCTAAAACTAAAAGACTTTCCATTTATCAAATCACACACTTGCGCCTACAAGGTGATATAAAAGCCACTGATAAAAAAAATGGGAAACAGAAAAGGACAAATAAGCTTACATCTCCTTCATATCCCCGCATAGCTGCTTGGGAAGGCTGACCTGACTCTGGAGATCTCCGAGAAAAACAAATAGCTGAATTCCTGAAATAAAAGATAGAATGAAATATTACCACCAAGTATGAACAAGAAAGAAACTTGGAAGACATCCAACCAGGAAAGTTAACAAGAAAAGTTCCGCCAAATATAAAGCTTGATCTATTTGGGACAATATTCAATGGACATCACATTGAATCAAATTAGGAGACAACAAACCAAATAAATGAAGGTGCTATTTGACTTTTCTAAAATCTTGCAAAAAGTTCTTCCAAAATCCTTCTTGTCTCAGTTTTTCAAGAGTTTTCACACACAGAAAAAAGTTAAAATCGTTATCTAAGAAGAGATTTGAGGGTGTTTTTCAAGCAAACGTTTTCTTCCATCACAAAACACTGACATATCTTCAAAGGAACAATAAGTATCCAAACATCCTTACTTTGCACCAATTTTTTTCCAAAAGCATTTTTTCATAGAAATATTCAATAAAGTTGCTCAAACAGCTCACAAAGATCAGATCTTGACAAAAAAATCAGAAATACATGAACCAATCTACTTGCGAATTCGCTTTTCTACTCACCCTTTCTTCAATGTATAGTACCAATTCACCAAAAAACACCAAATTTTACAAAACTTACAAGATTTCTTATCCTAATTCATCAAAAAATAAAAAATAAAATAACAAAAATAATCGAATGGGTGCAAAAACAAACCCTAACCACATCAAGCTCAATCCTAAAAATCCAAAAACAGAGACACCAAAAACTTACAAGATTTCTTAATCCTTGTTCATGAAAAAAAAATTAAGAAAAAATTCAAATCGGTGAAAAAAATTCAAACCCTAACCACATCAATCTCAATCCCTACAAATCCAAAAATCATACGGCAAAATCTAATCCAAAAAAAGGAAAATTTTGAAAAAAATAATAATAGAAAAATAGTCAAAACAAAACCTGTATCGATCCAATGAACCAAGTGAAATTCGAATTCAAATCCAAAATTCATACAAGGCAAAATCTAATCACAAAAAAGCGAAAAGCTTTATGAAAAATTCGTATAAAAATTTACCTGTATCGATCCAATGAATCAAATGAAACTCAAAAATCATACAAAAGCAAAATCTAATCAGAAAAAAACCGAAAAAAAGAGGAAAAAAATAATAAAATTTACCTGCATCAATCCAACGAATCAAATGAAATTCAAAAATCATACAAGAGCAAAATCTATTCAGAAAAATCGAAAAAAATTGGAAAACAAGGGAAAAATTAGTAAAATTTACCTGTATCGATCTAGCGAACCAACTGAAATCCGAAAAGCATTGATTTTTCTTAGAGAAAACGAAACGAATTGTTTGAGGATCTGAAAATTGGATCCGATATCGTCGGTGAATTAGGGGATTATTATTGTTGTTTTTGGGGAGAAAAAGGAAGATAAAGCTCTTAGGGCAAACGAGAGATGAGGAGGCAAGGCTATCGTGCGCTGGGGTGTCGTGTATATACCCGAAAACGGGCTCAATTTCGAATGAGCCCATACTTTGGACTTTCGGTTTGGGGCAATTCTTTCTTTACAACATTGTTTACTAATTATATGCTCCTCACAACCATTTTTAGCCATCAAAATTGTCTTTCTACTTTATTAAACTAATTTTTTTCTACCAACAAGGTTGTGGCTCGAAACGATCCATTTTTAATTAGATATCTCGAGTTTTAATCTTAACATTTTGTTTTGATGATTGTTCAGTATTGTTTTATAATGTATAATAATGTATTGTTTTAATGAATACAATATTTGGATAGAATATATCGTTCTCTGTCGTTACATAATGTCACATATTCATATGAATGATAAACCTACAACAAAAGTAGGGTACGGGTACAGTTACTATGAAAAGGTAGGATGAAAGATGAAATATGATTATTAATAATAAATAAAGATAGAAAGAGAAGAAAATATTAAGGTAACGACGTGATCATATCAAATAGGTCGTACATAGAATTTAAGTAACAATTAAAAAAATATTGTATTTAAACTAACAATATAATACAATACAACATATAACAACCATTCAACAAGGTGTAAATATAACGAGAAAGAAAACACAATATAAAATCTGGAAAGAAGATGTATTAGGTCATAATATAATGGGACTTGAATCCAACACCTTATACTTGGACTCAAAGCTGATGTATTGAGACTTGAATCTAGTGGCTTACCATTAAGCAATGATATAATAGGCCAAAGTGAAATATGATTCTCATCCGATATTGCAGATTCATTTGAATAAGCATGGGGTTTTATTTAACCCATAATGGCAAGGATGAGTCTTTTCTCAAACGAAAATGGTATAGATGAGTCAAACTTTTAACGGATGACATAGATGAGCATTTTCTCAAAACTTGATAACATATTTGAGTATTTTTCCTTAAAAGATATTAACTAACTGATCGTTTGGTAGCAGGTTTGAATATGAGTTTTGAAAATGTTAAATCTTGCCTAAGTATTACCACGTTTGGTAATTGGTCTGAATATAAGTTATATATAAAATTAATACAGTATTGGATTTGCAATTTATAAATTCAGATAACTAATACATATATAAGTTATGAGGAAATTTATGCATGTATTATTTTATGGAGAACAAAAGATGGAATAAGTAAACCCTATATAAAATAATAATAGATTCCATTATAACTAATTCATATATTTCTAATATTTGCATGATTCTAACCAGCTACTAAAAGACTCTTGACTCAATTTTCAACAAATAAAATATATTAAACATATATTATTGAAGCACAAGAATAATTTAAATCATATGCAAATTGCATAAATAATACTTTCTGACCTGTAGGGAAAGAAATTGGTTGGAAGCCTTTTCATTTTTGGTCAAATGATCACAAGGCAACAAAGTTTAAATGATTGGAAGTTGTTGTCTCTTAAGTTTTGAGCAACAAATTGGTCACTGCATACAAAATTAAACTGAACTCAAATCAGGGGATGATATTGAAATGAATTCAGAGACTCGTATGAATAGCGTGCTACAAAATGAGAAATTTATAAGTAATAATATAAACAAAAAAGTAGATAAGAAATATAGAAAGAGAAGAGATGAGAGTTTTCTTATCATTTAAAGTGGATTCTAGTATTTCAGATGTAATCATAATATGAAGTCTTATGCCTCTATTTATACTGTTCTATAAACTTATATACAAAAGACAATTATAAACGTGATATTAACTATGAAAGTTAATTGTCGGGAAAAATCATGAAAAAAGGTTATGGAGGTGTGTAAGTTAATATCATAACAATAAAAAATAATAAAAAATTTATGTCTAAAATAGTTAACATCGTTTCATATCAATATAAACATTATTGCATTAGTATAACATTTTGAGAAACCTAATACAATTTTTAAGAAATAGATGAGGTACAAATAAATTTAACTTATTTGTCGAGTGTTTAGAGTAAATGTACTAAAGAGAATTATAGTTGTAAAAGTTATTACTTTAATGTACACAGAGGCGAAGCCAGGATTAAGAGTTTGGGGTTCTAAATTTCTTTAATAATTGTCAATCAATTTTGTTAGGAATTCACAAATTAATATACATATATATGTAATTAATTTTCTAGGACAAATATAGAGTATACGGAGAAACTATTGGATTCATCCGAACCCATGAACCCCATCTACCTCCGCCTCTAAATGTACACTATTAAATTTAAAGACATATTTTTTCACATGCTCTACTATATTTAACAAATGATAAAAGTTGTTTCATCCAAAAACTTATAATAATATAATTTGTGTTAAATTCCTTGATCGGATACGAATGAGTATAAATATCCAATAGTATTCAACATATGATGTACGAACTTTTTGATAATCTAAATTCATAATATTCTTTTGTGAACAAGAAGGTATGTTATAAAATTGAAATTTGTAAGTGGTGATTCAAAAAAGAGAAATTTTCGTAAATAACTATAGTTTGAATCATAATCATGAATAGTAGCTAAAGTTTATCTAATTACAATTAATAGCAATCGTTTTAGAGAGTAGAAAGTCGAGCAAGATCGACATAGATAGAAGAGAGAAGTGAGTGAGATCAAAAGAGATAGAGGAGAGAGGCGAGCATGTTGGATACAACATGTATCTCAATTGAAATTGAGATACACATATCACAAACATACATATACATATATACATAATCTCCTCTCTCTAACACACACAAATTTCAATCTCTTCTCCCCTCTCTTTTCCAATCTCACACATAGATACACACATACACATATTAGCTTTGAAATAGAAACATAGATATAATGACACACATTATATCACCTCTAAAATAAATATAAATACATAGATACAATCAATACCAATTTTTTGTGATAAATAAATGAAAACAATTGATAAAATATTTGAATATTATATCATCCCTAAAATAAATATCGCAATAAAAAAAATTCTAATAATAGTTGTATAATTTTTTTTCTAATATACAGTTATAGTTTTTGTGATAATAGATACAATTTTTTGTGATACATAGATTCAATTGGTTGTATTAATATATATCAATAAAAAGAAACACAATTTGATAATAGGTGTATTAGTATTTTTTATATACAAATATAATTTTTTCTGATACATAAATATAAATGGTTGTATCAATTTAAGAAGAAGAGAAGATTCAAACATTGAATAGCAAATCAAGAATTCAAAATGGAAAAATATGATATATCAGCATTAATCCAATAAAAAATGAATCACCAATCAGCGGTAACCCAAAAAATATTGAAGATCGAGAATCAAATGTATAGACAAAAAAAAATTAAATAAAATTTTAGTAGAGTTTCGTGTTAATATAAGAAACAGAGAAAGAAAAGAAGAAAAATTCACACAATGAATCATAGAGAGGGGAAAGAAAGGAACGTAAAAGGAGAGAAAAATAAAAGAGGGAGAAATAGGAGAGAGACAGAACAATCAATAAACAAACAAACTAATCTAATCAATTAAGAAATTAAAAAAAAGTAAACGCACACAAATTAATCTACATAATGAAAAACTGTGAAATTAAACACATAAATCAGTCTAATCGTAAAGGAAAAAAAAATTAAATGCACACAAACTAAAATTGAACATGAAATTAAAATTAAAGTAAAATAAAATTTTGTAACAGAAAGAAGAAGAAGAAGAAGAAGATTACCTTATTTCGTGCAGCTAACTAAGACTTTTGATTGAAGTTCCCCTCCACTTTTACCTGAAAAAGTAAGTGATTTAGTGAAAGATTCTTTGTATAAAACCCTAATTTCTAGGATTCAACCATTAAAAATTGATATGAGATAAAATAAAATTTTAAGTGAAATCCACCCAAATTCCTTGATAAATTTAAAATCCATCGAAAGATAGAGGTCATAAAGAGTCTGCTTGTTGATTCAGACAAAAAGACAAATGACAAGTGAAAGAGAAGGGAGAATCGGAGGTTTTACCTCATTGATTTTTTTGCCGAAAAGACAAGCAACAATTAAAACTCTTTTAGAAATGACCGAAACAACTCTGAATCGTAGAAGAACAAATCATTTTTCCATTTCTGATCAGAGACGACAGAAAAGAAAGAGCAGTAGGGGAGAATTAGGGTTAGAAATTCTGTATTTGAGAAATGACAAGTAAACGCAAGTTAAATATTAAGAGTAATATACAACGACGTCCGTCTAATGTGATCATACGGTTAGAATTAAAGATAATTAAACACAAAATGACATAATATAAATCTAGACCATTAAATGAAAAATGAACGGTTTAGATTTGAAAGGAGAAGGCACAATCTGTGTATGCGCTGACGCACGCTAATTGACTTATTCAAAAAGATATAAGTTAACTCGCGATAAAAATAACTAACAAATTGCAGAATAAATCGTTAAAAAGATTAAATGATATGAATCGCAATCCTGCATAAATGGTTGAACGCGAGGTAAAAAATGATCGTGAATTTAATCAATGATTTGTGCATAAAAAAGAAGACCAAAACTGACAATGGAACCTATGATCAGAAAAATAGATCATGATAGATTCAAGTTACGACGCGAGTTCAACATTTCTCAGAGTTAATTGACAGAGGCGCTAAAAGCAATACGCATGCTATAAGCTAACCGACGACTGCAGATTGATTCACAAATCATATTGACAGACTAATTTAATTTTTTAAGAATTTCAATTTCTTGGACTATTCTAAATAGATATGTCAGGTTTCTTTTGAAAAGAGTTGACAATTTTTAGTTTTTAATTTAGTAGTAGTTTTCTGTCACCCAATGATATACAAAACTCTCTTTCTAGTTATTGAACGAAGATTTTCAATATTCTTTCAATCTTTAATATTCAATGTAAGTTTATGAAATCTTTCTAATTGTATTTTTGTTTTTTTACTTTCAAATGAGTAGCTAAATCCTCAATCGAAATTGTAAAATCATTGAAATTGTAGAGTTCATCAGTTTTTTTTTGTGTGATTGCATTATGCTAAAGTTATACCATATCAAATTTCTTTTCGTTCTTAATAAACTATTCGGTGATTTCATTCGTTAAC